GAAAAATTCTTAAAGTGCACCTACACCCAAAAAATTTTTTTCGCTTAACGAAGTAAGCTTATTTTTTTGAGTATTTCTGCGCAAAAATTTTTTTATTTGCTCAAATCTTCAATTTTCTATGCCCAGTCAAAATACGGAAAATCGGCCGCCATCTTGCCCCACGACCGAGTTTAAAGAGGAATGGCTCTAGTGGGTAATGTGACGTCAAATCGAGAACACGAAAGTCTGCATTTCACACATTTTCACTTGTTTGGGAAGGTTGTAGTCGATAATTGTCCGAAAATATGCCGACTAAGTGTGTTGTAGAAGGATGTAGCAACGTGCGAAATTTGCAAGAGGGTATCGCGCTTCATACATTCTTCATACAACACACCTAGTCGGCATATTTCGGACAATATCGACGACAATCTTCCCAAACAAGTGAAAATGTGTGAGATGCAGACTTTCGTGTTCTCGATTTGACGTCACATTACCCGCTAGAGCCATTCTTCTTTAAACTCGGTCGTGGAGCAAGATGGCAGCCGATTTTCCGTATTTTGACTGGGCATAGAAAATTAAAGATTTGAGCAAATTAAAAAATTTTTGCACAGAAATACTCCAAAAAAATAAGCTTATTTCGTTAAGCGAACAAAAAAAATTTTGGGTTTAGGTGCACTTTAAGTTTGAGAAAAAAGCGGTTGCCATGAATGAAATATATCAAGACTTTCAATTTTTCATCGAATTAACGTAGTTTTTTATGTATCTTTACTGTTGCTATGAATTCAAGCTCATTCAGCTCTGTCGGGTGAGACGCTCGTCTCTCAAGTTGCCTCTGTCAGCTAAGGAGTGTAAATGCGTATCGCCAGGCTCCCTAGAAGACCTTATTTGATTTGGATAGAGCTCGTTGCTAAACGAAGGAGATTACAGAACCTGTGTTATTTTCGAGTAACCAATGAGCCACAAGGGATTCAACTGCGACCGACCAAGTATTCACCCCTCCATCCCCCCTCCCTCCTGCCCCCGTCTTCTCCCAAAAGAGGCCAATTTTTTTATTCACACTCCCCCGGTGAGGCGAAGATTCATCCTCAGCTCTTCCCAGCCCTCCCGCCCCTCTGGTTTTCATCTTAAAATAAAAAAAAAAACTGAAACATGCACAGGAACCCATTCCTAATCTATCATGGGACGGCGATTAGTCCGGAGAATAGAAAACTATTACATTACACTACCCCTCCAATACTCATTGCGACTGAAGGTAAACTTCAGTCTCCCAAATGGTTCCAGGTTCATTTGGTTGCCACGATCCACTCCCATGATGCCACCGGAACAAAAAGTGCATTTCGCGATGCGCGCGCATTTGGCGGCCATATTTTTCGTTATTGTTAAGTGATGAATTGAAGATCGTCGCGATTTTTGTATATGAAAATAACTCGTGAAGGTTTCCTCTCATGACTTGTCACGAGGTAAGTAACATATCTCGCGGTTGTTTCACATATAACATTTGAATGCCACGTTTTGGCTGATTACGATTAACAATTTTCCCGTCTCTTTACTTTTCTGGCAATGTTGATGTCGTGTCATAGGGCTCACCTGTTTCGTATACGAATGTTGTATGTAAATTTTCGCACCTTATTAGATCATCATTTATATTTTCAAAGGTACGAACCCCAAATTCCAACATTTTCCAATGACAGAAATTTCCTTTTTTTGCTCGAAAACGGAGGCAGTTAAGTATAAATCTGTTTAGGGTCAACGCAAATGTGATCAGATCTCCTCGGATCTGATATCATGAAAACTTGAATCAATTTTAATTTTTCTCGTTTGTACTTAAGAAAGAAAATCGACCAAGCGGATATATTTGTAGCACTGCTCGAACGGTAGTGGTATTTTGTTATGTTTTGATTGGAATCCGGTGAAAATAAGCAGCTAAAGAACTTGTAATAAAGCTATCAGAGAGCGCCTGAGGTTTATAAAGAAACACGTACATTTAAATATTTTATATCTTTTGAATAAAACCACGTTCCGCGTGACTTTGGTCCACAAGCTTGACTTATGAAGAAAATCGACTTTTCACGGGCTTTAAAGGGCATATACTTGTAATTTCTTGAAAGAAAAGGTTATTTCCTCGTTCCCTTGAAAAGTTTCTTGGCCTTTAAAATATATTATAACTGAGTTTTGAAAGAAAAACGTTTACACTTATTGTCCAGTTTTATTGGAAAGATCAACAGAAAACCTTTGTTTAGGATAAGCTCTGAATTGTTTCCAATTGATGTGAACAAATTTTAATTTGGTCGAGTGCTAGATTTGTCATTGGGTTCATTTTAAAGCCTAAACATTTGAAAGAGCCAAAGTAACATTTTCATCAACCATGTAATTATATTTTAATTGGAGTTGAAGGAAGCTAATGACAACATGGAAAACAAAACATTTTTAAAAAATATATTAAAATAACTTTTCCTATATGATATGCATGTTATTGATTTGTTTTAAGATACAAGTTTTTGTGTGATTTCTTATTATGTTTGGAATATGGCAAAAAAGCTGCTTTACATAATAAGGGCTAGCTCAGAGCAGAGCCCTGATAAACTGTGGGTGGAACAGTGTAAATTTGTTTCCCCTCAACAAGGTATACTGTAAACCAAGATTGTAAGTAAATTAAAAAAAAGAACATTAACCCAAATAATCCTGGTGGTTTATAAGTCAACCCGAGTAACAAGCCTATATTAGCAAGGTTTTCTTTAAGATATGGCAAAAAAGTTGTTAAGTTACAAGGGAATATCCTCCACTCGTGATCAAGAAATAGTCTAAGCCATCAAAACTTGCATACAAAAGCAGGTAAGCTACCATGCTCTATAATGCATAACCTTACACCTGGGTTACCAAACTAATATTGCAAATTCCATGTTAGTTTTTTTAAATTTTATTTGTATAGCTTCACAGAAAGAAAGATATATGTATTAGCCTTTGTTAAATTGGGAACTGAGTAAAAGCTTTTCCAGTATCATGGACAGCTCTTATCAGAAGGTGTCACAGGACCCCGATGAAAGGTAAGTGCTGTCAACATTGTATCTATTTGTAGACATTCCAACTTTACCCCAAGTCAAATGGGGCTCAAAACAATAGCTCTAATAGTTGGAATAATAATGAGGATGATTCTTAGTTATATCTTAGTTAGGCTCAGACTATTCCTGCACCCCCCTCACGTCTTAAGGTCCCCTAGCCTAATTCTGCTGACCACAAATTTTATGCTATTTATTCGTATATTTTATGCTATATATTTATTATTTTATTTAAATTATCTTTTTGTGTCCTTACTTAGTGGTTTTATTACTGCTATTTTATAATTGACACATGAATAAAGTTCATCATCTTCATCATCCTCATGAGGATTGATCTGCACCGAGGACAGTGTGCCTTAATACATGACAGTGTGCCTTCATACAACAATAATTACAAACCAAGCTGCTCTAATCAGGGACATCTAAACTTTCAACCTCATTCAGGGCTCAACACTAACTTTTCAACTTACTACATGTAGCCAAGTGGCTAGTGACAACTTAGATGTTACAACAATTTCAATTTGTTTACTAGCCAAACTGGCCCGTGGAAATTGAAAACCACTAACCAAAACTGAATTTCTACTCGTCTGTGGCTAGTGGGCTACCATTAGTGTCAAGCCCTGCTCATTGCCGGACAAAGACAAGCAGTATACAGTGAAGCTGTCCAAATGTTGCAATTAGTACCTGAGTGATAAGCCTGATGCTTATGTTGTGAGATCAAAGATTAAACATTCATTTAAAACAACAGCATTTTCTATAATTATATTTACACAAAGTTATGCAGTTCAAACCAATTATTACTTTTACTACCTTAGTGATGATCGTCACGGATCGTACCAGCCATATCATGATGACGATGAGGGCTATGAAGGTAACTATGGCTACAACTATGGATACAACCCTTATCGCCCTCCTGTTGGTGGACTCAAAGGAAAGGTGGAGCAGAAATATTGGCACACCAAACAAGCCATGATACAAAAGCTGGGAAAAGAGCAGGACTGTTATGTTGTGGCAGGGGATGCTGAGGTTGATGCACGCCTGGAGGTAAAAAGACACATTCTTGTCACCTTTTGTCATGCTCAGAGACTCAGAGTTTTTAATAAGAGCTGCAACCCAACTGGTGAAATTTGCCTTACAGTATATGTCAAGGGAAATCCAGGGCTTGACATTAATTTTTCAACTTACTAGCCAAGTGGCTAGTGACAACTTAAATGTTACAATAATTTCAGTCTGTTTACTAGCCAAACTGACTGATGGAAATTGAAAACCACGAGCCCTAACTGAATTTCTACTAGTCTGTGCCTGACTGGCTATTAGTGTTAAGCCCTGGAAATCACCACCTTAGTTTCTCTATTTTAGGCTGTTTTGAATAAATTCATAGAAATCAAACAGATCTGAATTAATTTTAGGTGCCATTTGAAACTTATACATGATTATGCATTTAAGTGCCTATGAAGTAAAATTTTTTTTGCATAATTTTGTAGCTTATTATGTCCTTATTAAGGAAAGACAAAAGAAATTTCAAGAAAAGAAATTTAAATCGGCTTTTTGGTGGCCCGAAGTCCCTAAATTACACGTTATCGGTGTCCCGAAACTGGGAACAAGTTTGGCTCTGATGACATAGTTGGTGGTTCTGGCGCTTTGTTTAAGCTTTTTTTTGTCATCTTCAGAACCACCAACTACGTCACTTCCTTTGTAAGATGAGATTTGACCACCCGCAAAATGGACCCATTTCAGATTGCAAAATCCAAACTTTGAGGTTAAAAAAATAATACAAGAAAGTTCTTTTGGTCGGTCAAAATCGCTTAGCTGTGTTCATCAAGACATAAGCAAACAAACAGGGCAAAAAAAATTTTTACTTCATAGGCACTTTAATGCAATATTTTCCCATATTCTGCTGTTAAAGGGGAATGCTGTTTTCTTCTAGTGCATAAAATGAACGGTTATAATTTGTTGATATAGGCATTTCGCCATATTCAGAAGACATGCATAGACATACTGAAGGCAGTAGAAGTGTATCAAAATAGGATATTTGGTAAGAATGTAGTTTAATTTCTTACATACGTACATACAAATGCTCATAGTATTCTTACATGTACTGTAACAGGGCTTTCATTAACATTTTCAGCAGGTGGGCAACAGGTTTCCACAGGCAGGCAAAACTTTTTATGTTGAACTTCTTTATAAGAATACTTTCCTCTAGATCGTCAAACCAGGTGGGCAAAACTGTCCTCCCAACCTGTCAGTAGGCCCAGCGCCTGGCCGTTAATGAAACCCCCGCTGTAAGATACATGTTACATAATGCAGTGAATGGCTTGAACCCGGGGGTAACATGTGAAGGTGTAGTCTGATCGTCCGGGTGAGTGTAGTCCTGAGAAGGACTGTTGTCGGTGGTAGTGACTGACGTTTCGACAACCTGTGCGAAAGTCATCATCAGAGTCAAATGAATGATTGTTGTCAGTACAATGTTCTTATTCCAGTTCGTGTGAAATGATCGGTTGGTTTTGCCGTGATGTTATTGGATGTACGACCGACTTACGTCACTTGAGTCTTACAGCCAATAACGGCAAAATCACGGCAAAACCAGCCGATCACTTCAATCACGGCAAAACCAGCCGATCATTTCACATGAACTGGAATAAGAAGATTCTACTGACAGCAATCATTCATTTGACTCTGATGATGACTTCCGCACAGGTTGTCGAAACGTCAGTCACTTCCACCAACAACAGTCTTTCTCAGGACTACACTCACCTGGATGATCAGACTACACCTTCACCTGCTACATAATGTCACCTACTTAGAGAAAATTTCAATTTAGGCTAAGTACTCCAGGCTGTTACTTTGCCTTGTGATTGGTCCAGGAAACTCAATTAAAAAAATACCTCTTCCTTATGCATTATTTTAGAATTACCACAAACAAAGTGTGACATACCTGGGAAGAGATGGTAATAATTATTTTATTACATATTTTGGTTTGTTGTATTGTTGGGTGTTGTATAACAAGTATAAGCACTCAGTGTTACTACATGTACACACCAAAATGTGTAATATTTTATTTGTTATCCAACTGCTTTATTTCATATGCAGTTCTTGTAAGTTGAGAAAAGTGAAGCAAATAGAGAAGCAGCTTGTGACATCTTGCATAACACTCACTTCAGATTACAGAACAAAATAACCAATTGATTGTCTTGATAACCATACAATATTGCAAGAAATTTGTTCTCTATTTGTATGTTGTTTGTACTCTACTTTGTGCAGTTGGGTAATATATTAAAATGAAGTGCATTTTGATAAAACTTTTCCTTCACTATTCAATGTTATGTAATCACAGAAAACAAAATGAGAGGCCATACAAGGGAAGAGATGGTAGAAGCAGAAGTTGAAGTTTTAGTTATAAAATTGATATGCTTTTCCAGAATACTGTCCTCTCGTTGGTATTGTGTCAACAATTTTGTTACAGATCGTAGATGTTGAAAGTGTCAAATCACTTCTGAAAATAAGGAACTTCAAACTAATTTGTTTCAGTGTAAGGTGTACATGAAAAGATAAATGGGGGCTCAAAAAGATGAAGCCTACACTCAAGCTTCTTTTCTATTTCTAAATTTACTTACAGCTTTGTCTCAAGATGAAAATGAAATGGGACGGTTTCTACGAGAGCAGGGCTCCCAGGATAAATCAAAAGCAGGAAAAATGATGATTGCTGTTGGCAAGGCTCAAAGTTACTCTGCACAGCAACGGTATACTACTTCAATTAACCGTTTCACTCTCAAGATCTTATTACTAATTCTCCCTACTGTCTGTGACACAATTTTGATGATGTTCCTTTAGAGAACTTGGTGTCTGATCATTTAATAATCCACTGGTTGATATTTTTCTCTATTCTGATCACTTGTCTTCTTGATATTGTATTGGCATTCTAAGGGAATTCTGTCTTGGTCGCACATGGGAGTGAAAGAGTTCATTCTTAAAATGGGGAGGGTCCAAAATAACAATTTTGTTCTTATAGGAAACAATGATTAAATGTAAGTGTGTAATGTCTGACTGTGTGTCTGAAAGATTTCAAAAACTGGGCGCCTAAGATTTCTGATACAAGTGCACTCAGAGGTTCTTTTCATAGCACAGATTTGATGTACACGTGCACATTGTATTGATAAAATTTATTATTTGGACAGGCTTAGTCTTAGAACTCCACTGGTGAGGCTTTACCAAGAAGTCGAAACATTTCGTTTCCGTGCGATCTCAGACACTTTCCAGACTGTAAATCGAATGGAACTGTCCAGAACAGACTACAGAGCTGGGCTCTTGTGGATGGCAAACATTTCTAAGGAATTAGATCCTGAAGAATACAAGAGATTAGACAAGTTTAGAGAGGTGAGTGGTTGCATGTCGGAAAACCTTATTACTTGTAAGCGAGACTGGTAAAGGCCTACAAAAACAAATAACCCGGAGAATATATTATTCTTTAATTTGACTTTTTGCATAGTGTAGTCATAGCATTATTATTTCTCCCCCTTTTTGTTTTTGTTGTCATTTCTTAGTTTTGTCAGGGGCAAAAAGGAAGGGGAAGCATATGACAAACTCTCAACAATTTTTTTTTTTTTTTTTTTTTTTTTAAAAGGGTGGGTTCTTAGGATCCTTTGTATTCAATTGAGTGCCCTGGGTGCTTATTAAAGTTTTGGACCTTGAAAGGGGGCAGTTATTTGAGGTGGGCACTTTTCAGATGTCACAGCTATTAGTAAGTAATAAATCTATTTTGAAACAAAATGATAAATGATGAAATGTTAAGGTGTACCCTTGACAGTGAATTTAGAGATTGTAAACCAGTAAAGAAATAGCTATCTGATAATCAATACTGCTCCTGTNGTGTAGAAGCTAGAGGAGAGAATTAACAAGTACACCTAGTGAATTAAAGGGTTAACTTTTCTTACCTACTGAATGGTTGCTTATTCAAGGTTAGGTGCTAAACACAGTATTAATAATTATCTGCAATTACTTGAAAATGTGTGCAGTGTAATTTCTTTGCCCATCCAACCAGAAGTTGCCATTTTGCTATGTCAAGGAAGAAATAGACTTCAAAAGGTAGGCTGATTCTCACTTATTGCAGCCAGAAATTAAATTTTGAAAGTATTTTTTCTTCCAGGTTCAAGCCAAAGTCAGGAAGGGTAAAAAGAAATTTGAAAAGCTGAAAGTAGATGTTATGCAAAAGATAGACCTGCTGTCTGCTAGTAGATGCAACTTACTTTCAAGTACACTTGCTGCATACCAGCAGGCTTTGCTCAAGTTTTGGGAAAACACTTCTCGAACTATGGTACAAGTATCGGAACAGTTTAAGGGATTACCCGCATATCAGTTTCAAATGTTGAAGAGCCTTAATCCTCTGACTCTGGAATCTGACGACAAGGAGAAAGGAGAAGAAGGAAAAGAAACGAAACCCAGCAGAGAACCCGACAATGAAAAACAAGAATCAGCCAACAGCGGAGAAAAGAAAGAAGCTTCAAAAGAAGATGACGATGATCAGTTAATTTCTCTGGATCATTCACCATTAGAAGAGAAAAAGTCGCCCGAGGATGAGAATAAAAAGGCTGATGATGATAATGATGACAAGGCACTTTTAGAAACAGATTTATTGGGAGATGATGAAGTCTCCAATGGTAATGTGGGTGAAAGAGATGAAACGCCCTTCATTGATTTGCTGGGTGATGATGCTTTGATGCCATCAAAACACAATTCAGGTTAGAACAGTTACTGTACTGTTACATAGAACTTAACAGTGTATGTGAGACACCAAGGGGGTTTCAAGTGAAACACAATTTGTTCCTTGATAATTTAAAAGTATCCATTTAAACTCCTGGCCTGGGTTGTTCGAAGGATGGATAATGCTATACACTGGATAAATCTCTATCCAGTGGATAGCGCAGTACGTTCTGGTAACACTTATCCGCTGGATGGAGATTTATCCGTTGGATAGCGTTATCCGCCCTTTGAACAACCGGAGCCTGGCCTGGGTTGTTCAAAGGTTCAGGATAGCACAATCCACTGGATAAACTACTATCCAGCATTTAAGTTTTTACAAAACATTCTACATTATTAAAAACTGGATCATTGGATAATGTAATTCAAGACTTTTTATTGGCTTAGCCATTATGGTATATGAGCCAATATACCATAATTTAATATCTGTACATTATAACATCCGGTTTCTTCTTACAAAATAAAGTCGAGAAGATTTGTCTAATGTCTTGGGGGTGTTGTATTTTTTAATAAAACAATTATTCCACTCGCACTAGTTGGATATAAGATGATTATAGCCAACTGGGCGCGTAGCGCCGAGTTGGCTATTTATCATCTCATATCCAGCACGC